TAATTTATATTTCAATCTTTAAATGTTTATTAAACTTCCCTGAACATAAATTAGATGAAATTTATATAAAATTTATATAAAATTATATAAAATACATGCCTTTGTGAATGTATTTTCTAGTTGTGGAAATTCATATTTTATAATTACACTATAGCATCATTCACAATGAGACATTAGAAATGATCTAAAAACAACATTTAAAAAAACATAGATGAAGGGCTAGGAAAATTATTAGCCTTAGCCTGATCAAACAGAAGTTATAAAAGAACATTTTATATCATGATTCCAGGGGCATGATTCAAAGGGGCAGATGCTTTGCATGTGAGCCTTGGGTTTTATTTGCATCATTACATGATTCTTGAACACTGTTGGGTGTGGGTCTCCCCTCACAAGAGATTTCAGAGCAACACATTTCTGAACACAATTCTTAAGTGCATGAGCCAGGGTTATAATCTGTAGCACTGTCCTCCCGTTGTTCATCGATGTGCTCGAGCAGGCCCAGTAATGTCTCCATTGTGAGACTCATTGTTACTCATTGTTTGGCATATCGAATACATCACAGGGAGCTTGCCAGGCTTTGCCGTGCGGGCGAGATACTCTCCGTAGCTTGCCGGACTCTCAGAGAGGGGCGGAGGAATTGAACCTGGCTCAGGCCGGCTGGCGGCTTGCAAGGCAAACACCCTACCGCTGTCCTGTCACTCCAGCCCTCTGATAAAAAATATAAGACTTAAAAAAAACACCCTATACAGTTATGTGGCTCACACACAGACTGAAAGAAAAATGTAAATTAAACGTAAAAATAAAAAAGTAATTTCCATATGCTGAGGCTTGAAGAGACACTCTTTTCTTCCTCATTTTGATACCACGTACGAACTCAAATTGAATATTTACCATGTGTCAAATGCTAGACTATGGACATTATGTATAGAGAATACATTTAATCCTAAGAGATAGGTCACAGCCATTCAATTGCATAACTAATATTTAAACACGTCTCTACTCCTGATTGCAACCACAATGCTATGCTATATAAACAAATATAAGGCTACCTCAAGGTTATTCAACAGGTTAATACTACTATAGCAAGTTCTAAATTCTATGTCTCCTGGAGATAGTCCAGTGATATTTGTTTCCACACTACCTCACATCTCTTAGAAAAAAAATGCATTTGGTATATGCCAGGCTGACTCTACTTGCCATTATTGGGCTGGAGCGATAGCACAGCGGGTAGGGCGTTCGCCTTGCACGCGGCCAACATGGCCGACTCGAGTTCGATTCCTCCGCCCCTCTCCGAGAGCCCGGCAAGCTACCGAGAGTATTCGATATGCCAGACACAGTAACAACAAAGTCTCCAATGGAGACGTTACTGGGCCCGCTCGAGCAAATCGACGATCAACGGGAGGGCCTTTACCTTTACCTTGGTACATTTTAGGTTTACAAGAAAGGCCAGCCACCACATCTGGCATGTTTTAGTTAAATTTCATCTCTAGGACAGTTTTGGGGAAGTAAATGTAACCAAAAGACAAGGACACTGAAGCTCAGAAGGACTTGGTGTATTTTTATACGGTACAGGATCACACTGCTGTAACTGGCAAGCACCCAGGTCTGATTTCAAAACCAGTGCTTCTCCAGTTGGACAAGGTGGTCTGAAGGGAAAGTGCTCATGCCTGAGGGTGGGGGTGGGGAGGTGTGGGGCGGGATGGTGGAGGGGTGGCTCTGATTATGCAGGCTGCTCTTCACAAACGCAAAGGAAGTTCCTGTTGAGAGTGCTGTCTAATTTGTCCTTAGGCTCAGGTCCAGTTGGCTGTTTCAGCAGGTTAAACTGTAAAATCCACCTTCCAGAGTGAAAAAGATCTAGGAGTTTCTGAGGAACTTTGGACTCACCTGTTATGTCCTTAAGGATATGATCAAAGGAATAGAAAACGCCCAGTGGAAGAGAAACAGAGGGGGACAAAGGAGCAAAACTTGATTCTCTGACGTCTGCTGTTTAATCTGCCAGTGGTTCGATGGTTTATGTAATATATTTCCTGGCCCGGGGCGATGGTGGAGCGGGTCAGTGTCTGCCTTGTACTCAGCTAACCCTGGTTCAATCCCTGGTATCACCTATGGTCCTCCAATCTCCGCCAGGAGTGATCCCCAAGTGTGGAGTGCTGAGTACCGCTGGGTGTGTCCAAAAACCAAAACAATAAAAGCCCCCCGAAAATAAGAAATTTGAAATACATTTCATGCTCACCCTTTCCACCAATTTATACTTTGCCTTGTGTGGAATCTCAGGCTTTATTTATTTGGTTTTGGGGCCAAACCCAGCAGTGCTCAGGGCTTGATCCTGAGCACTCAGGGCTCTACGCTCAGGGCTCACTCCTGGTGGGTTCTGGGCCATTATGGGGTGCTTGGGATCGAACCCAGGTCTACAGTGTTTAAGACAAATGCCCTACCCTCTGTCCTATGACTCTTGCCCTAATCACAGGCTTAAATCCCTTCTCTCCAGTTAGTGACTTCCCTAAGTGGCCTCCATTCAATGTGGTATCAGCTAGGGAGTTCCCTAAGTGGTCATATCCAGTGTGTTAGCACAGCTAATCACGGGACACAACAGGGAAATAATCTTCCAAACCAAAGCCATATCTGCCTACTATCACTTCCTCCTGCAATTCCTTGAAAACTGCTCACCTTTCAGATTTCTCTTTCTTTCACTCAAGTCCATTGTAATTAACTTCAGCTTTCTATGTGTTTTGGGCTCATAGTGATCCCTTTATCTGAAATGGTTTCCTTTTTCATATTTGCCTATCTAAATTTAGTCTGTCCTTTAAGGTCCATCTCTAAAACCGCCATTGGTTTTTCTAATTCTCCAATAGGATATAAACCCTTCTTCGTCTAATCACCACTGCAATGGGTGGAACATTTCTAGGACTAGATATTCTGACCTGTATTGTAGATAACCAGGTACCTGAAACTGTTGGTCATTAAGATCAACTGTGTATTACTAACCTTTGTATTACAGATAGAACTAGAAAACATTTACAGTCAAAGTTAATGATCAAAACCAAAATCTGACTTGAGGAAATGAAATCGGAATCCATCATAATTTTGTTTGTCAACTGAAGAATTGGTCAAGGCGTTTGGAAAGTTAAAAATAAAAAATTACAGTTTCTAATGCGACAATTGAGTTCATGAATGCAGACATGACTGATAATATACTACATTAAGAAAGGTATGCTTCTAATAGATACAAATCACATATGGCTTAAAAAAACCCTGGAAACATCTGTCATTTGCTTTTATTTGCTGTCTAGTTTTTCTACTGATGAACACAGGAAGGCCTAAACCTTTGAAGTTAGAAATTGTACAGCTTGAGGAGAAGTGTATTAAGACAAGTGACAAACTTTGAATGCTGCTGCCATCAGGTTGAGCAGAACTGATTCATTCCTATACAAAGTAAAACCAAGACTCACTGTAAAATGAGCTCCTTTTACCTAGTGAAAAACAAACTGAAAAATCTGGTAGAAGTGGAGAGATGGGAGAAGGATGGAATGGTCTGCCGTACAGATGGGTATGGTCCAATCTGGGTTGATCCCTGCCGTGAAGGGGTTCCCCCCCCCCCCCCCACCAGCACCAGGAGTGACCTCTGAGCACAGAGCCAGCAGGTCCTGGGACGCCCCCAGCCCCGGCAAATCTGGTTTGGTTCGAGGCGACACCTGGGCACGCTCAGAAGCTATACCCAGCCCGATTGCGCCCGGGAAGGTTCCCGGGGATGCGCCGGGGACCGTGTGGCGCGGGAATGGAACTCGGGCCTTTGAAGCCGCCCCAGGCTCTCCCTTAGCGTTCTGCTTCAAGGAGGACGACCTCCTCAGCATCTGCTCCCTTGTTTTTCCTCAAAAGCCGGTTTACAGTGGGCCTTTGTGAAGCAAGCCTCCCCCAATAAACTCTAGATTCTAGGATAAACGCCTTTTCCCTCCCCATGTGTTTCAACACATGCTCTGAAGCCAAGCAGCTGGAGGGGGCTATTTTATAAGGGTCCCGGGTAAGACTGCTTCCCCGCAGACCAGGAAGAGCGAACCCCGAGGCCCGGTCCTGACCGCGCCGCCGTGTTTGCTTCTGACTCTGGTCTCAAGGAGGCGGGGAAGGCCGGGGAGGAATCCGCTTCAGACGCGGCCCAGCAGACGCCGTCGGAGAGCAAACGGCGCCGTGCGACCCTCCCCCTCCCCGTGGGCCCCCGCGCCTGGCTGGAGAGGGCGCGGGCCCGGGGAGGACGGTCCCCCCCAAGGCGGCGGGCGTTCCCCCGGCTGAGCCGCGACTTCCGCCCGATTCCCGCCGCGGCCCGGGCCGACCGGCGAGGAGCCCCGGGGCGGGCGGCGAGCCCGCGGGGCCAGCGGGACCCGGCCCAGCGCGCCGGCTCGGGTTCTTCCGACCGGCTCTCCTCCTACCCCACGTGACCGAGAGGCGCCCGGCCGCGAGGGTGGGGGGAGCCGGGGCCGCCGCCTCGCGTCGCGTCGCGTCGCCCCAGCCCCAGCGTCCAGGCGCACGACCCCCCGCCGCCGCCGCCGCCGCCGCCGCCGCCGCCGCCGCCGCCGCCGCCGCCGCCGCCGCCGCCGCCGCCGCCGCCGCCGCCGCCGCCGCCGCCCGGGAGCCCGCGAGCGTCCCGCGCTCGGCGCGTGCGTTGCCTGCGCACTGTCACGCCGCCGGGCGGGCCGCTCCCGGGCCCGCAGGGCGGTGCCGCGCAGCGCCGCGCAGCGCGGGGAGCGGGAGCGGCGAGCGCGCGCAGCCCTCGCCGCGCGCCCGCCCGCCCAGCCAGCGCCGCGGGAGCAGGGCCGCCTCGCCGCCTCGCCGCCTCGCCCCGCCAGCGGACCCCGGGCGGCCGCAGGGAGCCCCGCCGCGACGTGAACCGGGTGAGGCAGCCGAGGGTCCCCGGACGCCGGGCAGGCCCGAGCCGGGCCCTTTCCGGCGCCGCCCCCCCCCCCCCTCCGGGCCCGCGCCAGGCCGGCGGGCCCGCGAGCGCCACTTACACCACGGCTCGGGAGATCATCCAGGACACCATCTTCCCCAGGCCTCGGGCCCCGCGCGGTGGGCGGCTGCCGAGCGCGGCGGAGTGGGCCGCCAACGGCGCCCTCGGGAGCCGGGCCCGGTGTCTGCGCGCCGCGGCCGAGCTGCGCCGCAGTCGGGCCCCGCCGGTCCCCGCCCGCCGCCGGCCCCGCCGCCGCCGCCGCCGCCGCCGCCGAGCCGAGCCGAGCCGGTCGGCCCCGCCCCTGCGCTCCGCTGATAGGCGGCGGCGGCCAGGCCGGGGCCGGGGCCGGAGCCGGAGCCGGAGCCGGGCCTGGGCCGCCGGACTCCCCGGGACGGGGCGGGCCAGAGCCCGGCCAGCGCCGGTGGGGGGAGGGGACCTCGGGATCGGGACCCCGGCGCGCCCGCTCCCGCCTCGCGGCTCCGGGAAGGCCCGAGGCCTAGGACGCGCCGGGGAGGCTGGGTGCCGGGGAGGCTGGGAGAGTGCGGGACCGGATGGAAACTTTGTATCCGATGGAACCCTTTGGACCCGGCCTGGGGGTTCTGCAGAGCCGAGTTGTCGAGCTCGTTCGGCTCCTTCCAGCTTCTCGCGCTGTTAACCGAGACCCAACGCCCCCGGGCGTCCCCGTGTTGCGTTTTAACGGGGGGAGTCCAGAAGCGCCTTTCACAGACCCCCAGTGTGCACCCGGCGCCCGGCGTGCTTGGTGCAGTGCGGGGCGGGGACGAGGCAGAGAAAGAACTTGGGCTTCCGAGCCGCGGCGTCTCGTGCCGCGCCAGGCCTCTGCGGGCACCTTCCCCCTGAAAAGCGTCTCCAAAGCCTTTGGCGGACGCGCATATCCGGGTTTTCGCGGAGCTTGCCCGGTGCTCAGTGTTAAGGTTTGGTCTCTGCTTCCTGGCCAGTCCTCTTCGCTATTTACCGCCCTCTGTGATTGAGAGGTTGGGTTGTTGCTCGTGCCTTGCAGGTCTTGCAGATAGCTTGATGTTAAGAGCGAGAATTAAAAAATAAAAAAAGGAAAAGCGGGTGAAAGTTCAGATTGTGAAAATGATCTTAAAGCTTAGCCTTTTTTTTGCAGTTAAGACTATAGTAAAAGATAATTCCAGATGGTAGGAAGACTTAAAGATGGAACGTGGACTTTGACTCTTTAATTACTGTCCTAGAAAATATAATCGTTTATTTTGTGGCTGTACTGTAATTTTTTTCTCTTTTGTTCCTCAGTTTCCCCGTAGTAAAAAGGATAATGATACTGTAGTCTACCTTTTGCCTTCCAGGGGTGGCACTGCTAAGCCATTTAGGAAGTTTGTCAGCTTGTTTGGAAGAAAATGAAGGACACATAAAATCACTTTGTGTTACGTTCCGATTCCTTGAAAACAATGAATTTGGTAACATTTTGTTTGATTATTTAGGAAATAAACTGACGGTCAGAGGGATAGGGCTGCAGAACTGTAAAGTTCTTGCTTTGCACTCACGTTGGGTTCCGTCTTAGACTTTGCTTCCTTCTTGGGTTAGGTTCTTCGTGCTTACTCCTGTCAGAATGTGTATGTTAATTTCGGCAATCTCAATGAAAATTTGCATTTCTTTAGAATCATTTCTTGACACACAGCCCCAATTTTTACTGCTTTTCCACTGCCTTAGGTACCCTTTCTCCGTCTCTCTTCTCTGAGCCAAGCTGTATTTTCATGTTTAGCACCTTTACCTGGATTTCATTTTTTCTTTTGTTACCTGCTCCTCATTCTTTACCAGTCAGAGGTCAGAAGCTTATGGGGTGCTGGGGATCGAACCTGGGGCAACTGCAAGCAAGGCAGTTGCTCTGCTTGTTCTGGCTCTGAGGTCTTGATTTTGAAATGTGCCAGACCTTGAAGGTGTTCGTGACTTTCCCAAGGGACAATTATTTATAGTTTCTCTAGACCTCCATAATTTGTTACTTGAATTTTTATTAATGCCTACTCTGTTGGATGGTGAAATGTTTGAGGACAGGAATAGTATATGGGCTTTTTTTCCAGTATCTAGAATTAGGCAATAAAAGTTGGAAACTAGATTCACTCTCCAATGCCGAACTTTACAAGCTTTCAGCCATCTGTAGTGAATGTCTCTTATGTCTGTATTTTATGTCTTAGTTTGTGGGGTGGGGGGAGGGCAGGCATCATTCTCAGTATTGATTGATGTCATTCTGAAGGGATTGTTGAGATTTATAAATCTGCGGGCTGCTTTCTGAAATTTCTGTAGGTTGTTGTGTGTTAAATTGCATTTTGTATGCTTGTTAGAACTGCTGCTGCCTCCTCCGCATCCACGCCTTTCCTTCCTTCTCTCCATCTGGAACAGCGCCCTCTTCACATTACAGTGCACCATGTATTGGAAAACACCTCTCCTGTGCTGTGCACATGTTGTTGGGTCAACTTTTGCACCCCCCAAAGCAGCACAGTGTTTCTTCCCTTTTGCTATCCTGAAATAGGTTTAGAGAAACCACTGCCACCGACCACATAGATGATCGTAAACAATTGGAAATTGAATTCATGCTTCCTACTTCTTTACATTAGACTGGCAGACTGATGAATTATGTCAAAGTCAGCAGGTTTAGGTGGAGATTGCTGTTGAGAAATGTGACTCTTTTTTTTTTGGGTTGTAGGAATGGTTGGGGTTAATCTCAGCATTTGATTGATCTAGGAATATTATACTTTTTGCAGTGGGTCCTGTACAGAGAATGTCATGTGTATTACATCACATGTCCAATATCCTATTGACATTTGTATAAAATTTTTATTATATGTACCTAGTAACTTCATTTTACCTAGCAGTGGTTTAAACTGAGACTTGATTTTCATGTGTCACTTTTGTATGAAAGGAGCGTTTGTTTACAACTTAAGCAAGAGTTTGGAATACTGTGTCACAGAGAATTTTATATTGATAGTTGCCATGTTCAGCTACCAATGGCTTTTTTGGGGGATGGTGTTGGGAATTGACTCCAAGTCTTGTGCTTAAGTCTGAGCTACACCCCTGGCCCACAGAGACTTTCAAGAGTGGTTTTGTTTGGGCTGGAGAGAGTACAGTGGGTAAAGTGCTTGTCTTACAAGCAGCTGTTCCAGGTTTAATCTTGGTGGGAGACAGTTTATTTAGGGCAGAAGTCTTGAGACCCATTTCTGCGAACAGTACTATGTTTGGCAAGGGCAATCTATGCTTTTGCTAAATATGTGAATATAAGTATTCTGATGATCAAATGTAATTTAATAGGGTTTTAATAGGCTCATTTAGCCACTATAAATAAATTGTTTTTATTTTCTACATTTTTAGTGTTAATTTAGAGGTATGTGTACAGTGCATTTTTGGCATCTGAAAGGAGTTTGTTTATTGGGAAAGTAAAAGGTAGTGGGAAAATACCTAGAAGAGAAAGAACAGAATTATTGGGTACAGGACTAGGTTCTAATCTATGTAATTATGAATGAGTGTGCTAATGAGATTAAATGTTAGAACATCTTTCATATCTATTGGTGGATTATTTACTCAAATACTTTTATTGGGAGAAAGATTAAATGAGTTTACCATTGATAGAGACTAGGAAAGGATGAGGGAGAGTAAGGATCTTAAAGACAATGACTTGGAAGATTGATTTTTTTGTTGTTGTTTGCTTCTCTTAAGAATATTTTTATCCTAGTGGGCCTGCTTTTATGGTATTGTGTTTCTGCTCCGTGTTTGGTTTTTGTTTTCAGTGTAGTAGGGTCTCAGAGGTGCAATGCAAATGCTTCATCCCTGAGCCCTGTCACATCCTTACTTGATGGCATTATGGTTACAACAAAGGTGGTTTTGCAACTGTCATTCATTCAACTTATAAAGAAACACTATTGAAAATATAGTAATCTGAAGTAGACTAGAAAGATTCAGTTCTGATTCAGTAGTTAACATAGGTGTTGAGAAAAAGGTGCTTATTAGCTAACAGTGGAGAAAGCAAAGCATTGACTATATTTGAGGACTGACTAGGGAGTTGGGATAGTAACCTTCATTATAACAGCTAAGGATTTATCCTTGCTTGTTTTATTATTTTTTTTTTATAAAGCTGTGCAAACAGCTAAGGATTTAGACAAGTTTGCACCCACTTTTTGGTGCTAAAGATGGTTTTGGGTTTGACAAAGTAAATGGCAGAGAACACATTTAAAGCACTTTCAGTATTCACTTCGAGTAGATTCAATGAGCTTCTAGTTTAAAAGTCAGTGTAGGTAGATTGCTTGCTTCGCATATATGTGGCTGACCCAGGTTCAATCCACAGCATCCCAAATGGTACCCCAAGCCCATCGGGAGTGACTAATGAGTGCAGAGCCGGGAGTAAGCCTTGAGCACTAGCAGGTGTGGCCCCAAACAACAAAACAAAACAAAGTGAAGTTAGTATAGATTTGTAATATCAAGCGTTACTCAAGTGCACATGGGCATTATGGGTTCATTTGTAGGAAGCTTAAGTGTGGTAATTCCATTACGTCTAATAGCAGACTTTAAACATTTTAGTTGGAAAAAAACTTTAGTGGGATTTCAAAGCAGCGAAAAGTGAGTCTTCTTTTACCTCCTGTCTGCAGCTGCCTGCTTCCCTTCATGCCCTCTCCCTCCTCAAGCCTCCCCACCCTCAGACCCAATTATATATAGGTATTTACTCTAAGATAAAAGTGGAATTTTCTACCACTTGGGGTATGAAGAATATATTTAAGAAATGATTTTGTGTTATCCACTCTGACATCTCATTTACCATGAAGAAAAAGTAATTCCTGATGGGTAAGAAATGTACTTGTAGGGGCTGGGAAGATAGTACAGGGTTTAAGGCACTTTCCTTTCATGTGACTGATCCTGTTGGCTTGATCCTTGTCACAGCATAGAGCCCCCTAAATACTGCTAGGAATGAGCCCTGAGCCCTGGGCACAGAGCCAGGAGTAATCCCTGAGCACAGTTGGGAATGACCCCTAGGTCCGGTTTTCCCTGACACCATTTGTGCTAAGAGGCTCTTCATGGACCGTGCTTCTTTGTCATAAATTACTGTTCTTCTGTTCGTGTATCTGAGGGTTTATCACTGGGTTCCTTGTTCTTATTCTATAATTGATCTAACAGATAATTGTTCAAAATCAGCAATAAAGTTCATTGTGTTGGTGATACATATGAGTATGCACATGTACATATTTATATAATGAAAGC